GCAGTGGCTGGCCTTGTCTGAAGTTACTGTCTTCGTAACCTCGATTTCAATTTATACAGTCAAAGCAGGGCACATCCCTTGGCCTCTACACACTCTGAGAGCCGAATTGCTTTTCACGCCCCTAGGAATGCTGCTGTCAGTGCTAGTGCCAGTAATGGGCCTGTTTTTCAGACTGAATGAAGTAATCAATTACTGTTTGTTTTTCAGGACTCCTTTGCACTATGCAGCTGCAAATTGTCATTTCCACTGTATCGAGACATTAGTGACCACAGGGGCCAACGTTAATGAAACAGATGACTGGGGACGGACGGCTTTGCACTATGCTGCTGCGTCAGACATGGACAGAAAGTAAAAACAGCCTTGCTCATGCTTCCCCGGGGAGGTGGGGGGACCTAGTTTTCTTCATTCTGTTTCATGGAAACTGAAAATGAAGAATCTCTCTCATCCAGCTCCAAGGAGTCTCAATTACTTCATTCCCAAACCCAGGTTTTCCCATTCTGCTCTCTTTATGTTTGATTATTACATGTCACTGCACAATTATTCTCTTCTCCATTCTTTGGGCTGAGTGCCAAGTGGAGCTGTCAAACCCAGGTTTTCAGTTCATTCAAAATCTTTGTCATTTATTTGGACACATATCATAGTTTTTATCATCACCACTTAAATGCTTCATTTGCTGAAAAACTTACATTTGATAATATATATGTTATATGTCAAGAATATTCACCTATGCATAATCCCAACAGCTTATAACTGCACCACCAGCTTGTGTAAACAGGTATTATTGTCCCAGACTTGGGCATGAATGCTGGAGAGGAAGTTGTTTGTCCTAGACATATTTGGATTCTGTGTGGCTAGGAATGGAAAGCAGAAATAACCAGTTCAAGGGGAAAAGGTGGGAGAGGTGCCCAGAGTTTGTGAAGTCATTCTCAAAGGCTAAGGCCTTCTTCATAGGCATAGTTTTGGTAACCCTCTTTGGAGCACTATGAATTATCTGCTGCCCTGTGCCATGGAATCAATTCTAGATCAGTGCTAGTTGCTTCTCTTTAGAGCAATGGCTTGCCAACATTTTAGACAGCAACTCATGGTAAGAAATATATCTCATAACACAGTGCATACATTCATATATATGTGTTTCATATATTTGGTGTAGAACAGAAATAAAAATGTCATAAGGTCATATTTACTTTCATTATGCATGATGCATTTTGATGTATTTTTTTAAAAGATTCTGACTACAGTCCATTAAATTGATTTCACAATTCAATAGTGGATTCTGATCCATAGTTTGAAAAACACTGCTCTTCTCTTATATACATTTTTATTATATAAATAATGTGTGTATTATATGATAATATAGTCAGAAATAGCACTCAAGATCCCATAGCTATGGAAGTTACTAACACAAGCATCATTTATCGAGCACCTATGTGTCATCCCTTATGTTACTCACTTGGAATAGAGTAGGGGCAGTCATGGCAGGGGGAACAAGTATATTTCACCTATAAAGAGCTGGGAAAGAAATCCTGGATAATGAAGAGTTGCTCTGGCAGATGAAGGGTGACTGGGACCTCCATTCCTGGATTAGTGAGATGCTAAACTGGCAAGGAGGCAGCACAGAGTGCAGCAGAGTCAGAGAAGTTTGAGCTAAGTCTCCCCCTTTTCTTGCAGGGAATTGAAGATGTTTATGGAAGGGTGGGCAGGTCGGTTCTTGTCTTAATCACTAATACCTAAGTGGAAGTTTTCAAAAGCTATCTCAATTGGATTCCTCTGGAGAGAATAGATGTACTGGCTGGCCTGAGAGAGGCCCACGTATATCCTTAGTGAAAATCAGTGGTGCTTTTTTCTTTTGGGTTGGGGTAAAAATGGTTGAGCTATAATTGCACTAAACTCATTAGCAACTTTGCCATTTAAGAAATTAACTGTCATTTTTTTTTTCTATCCCTGATGCTGAGAAGTAAGACTATCTTAGGCAATGCCCATGAAAATTTAGAAGAGCTTGAAAGAGCCAGGGAGCTGAAGGAGAAGGAAGCCGCATTGTAAGTTCCCTCTCAGCTTAAGGACAACGTGCCATTTTCTGATGCTTCGTCTGCTTCTCTGGGTTGCCACGTGTGCTATACTATTTTGGGATTTCATGTGGGATTTTAAGGAAGTAATGTGGGCTCGCCTTTAATGGAGAAGAAACTTTTCTTAATACATCCTTCAATTACGCTGTTTTACATCAGGAGCTCTTTTAAAAACGGAAAGCTTTGCTTTGGCCATCACTGTGATTAGTCAGCAGTTTTTAGAGGCAGGTGTCCTAAATATTATTTCTGATTTCACCACACATCATGTTCCTTGACGGAATGTATTTATTAAGCCTCCCCTCCAGGCTGATTCTATAAATGAAGTCTTGAGATTTTGGTGTGAAATATACCAGTTATCCTTTGCCCTCACCTCATTTTTTTCACCTCTCCCATACACAGCAACTTACAAATACCTCCCTGCTCACTGCAGATAGCTGCACCGGCCTATCTCAAACCACTTGCCCCTCTGTGGCTCCTGACAGAGACTCAGCTGTTGCTGCAGTTGGGGCTGAAGTGCCTGCCGTCACTCAAGGGTGTTCATACAAGTGAAGCTCCTGTATTTGTCCTCAGAGAGTCCATTTTCTCTCTCTCTCTCTCTCTCTCTCTCTCTCTTTTTTTTTTTTTTGGAGAGGTTTTTCTATTGGCTGTGAGTACTTGCCAGAAAGACAGAGAGACAGAAAGGGAGAAATCACCCTCCAAGATGATGTGGATGGCCACACCACAATCCCTTCTCCTCCGTTCTCCTCTCAGGATCTTGGGCACACATGCACAAACGCCTGGCATGAGTTTAAGCCACCGGGTCCATGACTCAAACCACAGTCGACTACATGAGAGTCCAGTGACATAGCCATTACACCAACTGCTGGTCCCGAGAGTCCATTTTCTACTACAAGTCACAGTGAGCAGCTTTCAGTGCCTGGCATAACTGATGGTCAATAAATAAATAAACAAATAGGGGCCAGCAGGTGGCATAGTGGTTAAGGTGCTGGACTCCCTCATAGCTGACCGTAGCTCAAGTCTAGACCCAATGGCTTGAAACTCTCGCTGGACATGTGTGCATGCATGTATGTGCCAAAATCCCTAGAGGAGAAAAGAGAAGGGATTGTGGCATGGCCATCCCCCTGGAGGGTGATTTCTCACTTTCTGTCTCTGTCTCTTTCTGTCTCTCCAGTGAGTGCATGTGCCCTATCCCGAGAGAAGAGATTGCAGTGTGGCCATCACCCCCTCCCCAGAGGAAGGGGCAATTTCTTCCTTTCTGTCTCTGTCTCTCTGGCTAGTGCATGTGCCCTATAGTAAAAGTCTCTAAAAAACAAACAAACAAAAACCCTGTAGAATTTTAAGTCACTTCAACAAATGCCATCTTCTCTTGTCAACTGCAATCTTGTTCTGGACCAGACCAGCCCTCTTACAGTGATGGAGGAAGTAAGAGAGGTAGGGAGGGTGGACCCAGCCTGCCTGAGGGCTCTTCAAAGCAAGCAGGTCTTCCTGTCCTTGTCCAAGTACACCTCTGACCTGACCTAGTGCATCTGTTGATTTTGCATCTTCAGTGACAAAATTACTAGTCTGAGTCTTGGGAGGGGAAAAGGTAAGCATTCCTAGTTAAAACATAGAAGTAATTTTTTCCCTTGGAAATGATGTGGAGAATATCCAAATTCCATAGTATTATTGTTGTTATATTTCTGCTTGTATTTATATTCAGAGCGAAATAACTCTTTGGGAGCAGTTCCAACCTACAAATTCAGTTTACCACCTAGTTTTCAAAATATAATCCATTCAGAAGCTGGGGACTGTGTATCCACTAGAAAGTTATTCCTATTGAATGATTTTATTTAAAGGGCCAAATTCAGTTTAAAGTGAGTCACACCTGGGATCCTGTCCATGGGCATTTAATTACCAAAATAAAGCAGGACTTCCTTATAAGGTACAAATGGCTGAAGTTCTGCATACTTGCAGGACTCTAATAATAGTTTGATTTATTATGGAGCATTTTATGGATAAATTATGTGACATGTAGGTATTTCATGAAATATATATATATATGTATATATATATAGAGATCTTTATTATGTTTTTCTAGAAATTGAAGAATCTGGTTTGTCTCTATTGTGATTTATTTATTCCTTTTGCCTTATATCAAAAGAAAGGTAAATGCCAATTAAAAATTTCATAGTAGGGCTAGCAGATGGCATGGAGATTAAGGCACTGGATCCCACATGGCTGGTTCACAGTCCAAATCCCAGACCCAGGTGCATCTGTGTGTGTGTGTGTGTGTGTGCCCAAAATCCCGAGAGGAGGCTGGAAGAGATTGGAGTGTGGCCATCCTCCCTGGCGAGGGTGGGTTGGGGGTGGGGGGAGACAGGACTTATTGTCCCTCTCTTTGCCTATACCAAAAAGAAAAAAAAAAGTTCTTGAGTAAATGATAGGCATTTTTTTTTTTTATTGGAAGTTCTCAGTGTGTAAGTTTCTATTTAGCATCTTTTTTTTTTTTTTGAGAGGTTTTCGCTATAGGGCGCATGCGCTCGCCAGACAGACAGAGAGAGACAGAGAGACAGAAAGTGAGAAATCACACCCCAGGGGGGATGGCCACGCTGCAATCCCTTCTCCTCCATTCTCCTCTCAGGATCCTGGGCACGCACACCCATGTGCCTGGCTTGAGTTGAAGCCACCGGGTCCAGGTCTCGAACCACGGTCGACTACATGGGAGTCCAGCGACATAGCTATTACTCTAACTGCTGGTCCCTCTATTTAGCATCTTAAAACTTAGATTTGAGTATGAAATTGAATCAGCTGGCCTTATACAGGACACCTTTGTGCCACTGTCACAGAAATAATACAGAAATTAGGGAGCATGGCTCTTTGGCTTTACTCCCCTTTTTGCTAGCAGGGTCTGGCCATGTGCAGTGGGCCCTGAACAGAACTGGTGACATCCTCCACACCTGTGTTCTGGAGTTGGGGGATTCTTGGTAGAGTTGGAGCCAAGTCCCTTCCTCTCATCTACTCCAAAGACTATGGCTCTTTTAGAAAAACTACAACTCTGTCTTAAAAGGCTTCTAAAAATTATTTTTCTAGTCTATATTCCCAATGGTGCAATTGAAGCCTCTTTCTTTATATGTGGTTACTGAATTAACTCTTTAAATGTTTACCCTGCCTTTTATCTTTTTATTAGACTATTCTTAGATTGTTTTTTTCTCCTTCTTGCTTTTTAACTTTTATATCCTAATCTTTTGATCTTAAGAGTTTCCAATAGCAAGATTCAAAATAAACCCCTCTGTTGAGATTTTTATTGTTGCTATGGCTGGATCACTTCTTTATTACGTTTGAGACTTTGTCTTTTGAATGTAGAGCTCTACAATTTAGTAATCAGGAATCTTAATGACAGACATGTTCTGTGTCTTAAGATGAGGAGGAAAAAAAAAAAGCTTAATTACCCTCTTGTTTCCAAAGCTTGTTCTGAATTCTGGAATGGCTATTTGGGGGCAAAATAAAGATAGTTACAGAAAACACACACACATGTGTGTACACACACACACAAAACATTGCTGTAGGTTTTTTGTTTTGTTTTGTTTTTAAGACAAGATCTCACTCTGTTATGATCCTCTAGCCTCCTTAGAGGCATGAGCTGCTGCCCTAGCTTTTAGGGTGAGTGGGGAGCCAAACCCCAGCCTTCCAGGTACACTCAGCTAACCAAGAAGCAGCATCTACTATCATGCACCACTGTGGCTGGGCCTGTAGTTGTTTTTTTTGTTTGTTTTTTGCTTTTTGTTTTTGTTTTTGTTTATTTTGTTTTTGTTTTTGCCATAAGGGGGTGTGTTCACCAGAAAAAGACAGAGAGAGAGGAAAAGTGAGAACTTACCCACCAGGGAGGATGGCCACACTGCAATCCCTTTTCCTCCAGTCTCCTGTCTGGATGTTGGGCACATACCCACACATACTCAGGATGTTTCCCAGGTCCCCGGGTCCAGGACTCAAATTGTGGTTGACCATGTGGGAGTCCAGCGCCGTAACCACCACACCACCTGCTGGCACCAGGTCTGTAGCATGTTTAAAAAAACAAAATTCGGGACCAGCAGTTATCATAATGGCTATGTCACTGGATTCCCGCGTAGTCGACCGCGGTTCGCATCCTGGACCCGGTGGCTTAAAACTCACGCCAGGCGCCTGTGCATGCCTGCCCAAGATCCCTAGAGGAGAATGGAGGAGAAGGGATTGCGGCGTGGCCATACCCCCTGCAGGGTGATTTCTCGCTTTCTGTCTCTCTGTCTCTCTCTGTCTGTCTGGGGAGCGCATGCGCCCTATAGCGAAAACCTCTTAAAAAAAAAAATTCAGAAATTCTTTTTTTTTTTTTGGAGAGGTTTTTGCCACAGGGGACGTGCGCTCGCCAGAGAGACAGAGTCCAGCGCCATAGCCTTATGCTAACTGCTGGTCCCTTCAGAAATACTTTGTGGAACATTCATAATAGGATTTACATTAATGATCTTTGCTGGACCAAAGATGTTTCCTAAAATAACACCTCGTTTTTATATTTACAGATGTCTAGAGTTTCTGCTTCAGAATGATGCAAATCCATCTATCCGGGACAAGGAAGGTTACAACAGCATCCATTATGCTGCTGCCTATGGCCACAGACAGTGTCTGGAATTGGTGAGTTGTTCTGTTTCCTCCACTGCTTCCTCCCCTATCACACACAGACCTGTCTTTAAATGGTGTTCTTAAACTCAGCAAATGCTCAACAGCCTAATTAAGTCACCATGAGGAATGGCCTGGAAGATACTCTGTGGAAAGATAGAAGATCATCGTTACATTGCACAATATGTAGCTCTCGTTATTCCTTTTCTCTATCCTAACTTCAGATGGTTGACTCTACATTCATTTGGGCGGGAAAAAATAGATCTGTGTGAACACAGTTTGTATATTAAAGGTAATTAGGACATATCAAATAAGCTCAGTATGTAATGAGGGGTTTTCAAAAAGTTCACAGAAAATGTGTATGATGGAAAAATTTCATATGTGAAGATTTCACTTTTTTTTTTTTTTTTTTTGGAGAGAGATTTTCACTGTAGGGCGCGTGCGCTCGCCAGACAGACAGAGAGAGACATAGAGACAGAAAGCGAGAAATCACCCCCCAGGGGGGATGGTCACGCCGCAATCCCTTCTCCTCCATTCTCCTCTCGGGATCTTGGGCACACACGCACACGCGCCCGGCGTGAGTTTTAAGCCACCGGGTCCGGGACACGAACCGCGGTCGACTACGTGGGAGTCCAGCGACATAGCCATTACGCTAACTGCTGGTTCCCAAGATTTCACTTTTTTTACACCAAAATAAACTTGTACTTACAACCCATTTCCCACAAACCTTGAAAAGTCCCCTAATATTTCTGGAAGCAAATGTAGCACTCTAATATTCAATACCCGGGTTGCAAGATGACTCATGGAGCCATGAGGTGTATGGGTTTATCATGGTCCAGAGTTTGTAATTTAGGGGAAGAAATTGCTAGAGCACACAGCAGAATTTACTGGAATTTCCAAACCACCAAAAATTTTAGACATGTAGTAATCAAGAGATATCTCAGGGTTTAAAATCTGAAGCACCTCCATTGGTATAAGCCATAAAACACAAACTCAAAAGCCCATAAGGAACCAAAATGTAAAGTAAGTGAGTGACGTGAGCCAAGAGGAAAGCAATCAGTAGTGATGAGGATTGTGGAAAAGGGAGCATGTGGCTGCCTAAAGAAACAGCCAGGCAGCTCCAGCAGATTGAGACCAGGTGGGACTGTATATCCCAGATTGCCGGAGATACAGTGTGTCAAGAAGCTCGAAAGCTAGATTTTTAAAATATGAAATCTTTTTTTTTTTTTTTAGAGAGAGAGTTATTTTGCTATAGGGCACATGCACTCACGAGAGAGAGAGAGAGAGGCAAAGAGACAGAAAGCGAGAAATCACCCCCTAGGAGGGGTGTCCAATCCCTTCTCCTCCATTCTCCTCTTGTGATTTTGGGCACACACGCACATGCAGCCAGCGTTGAGTTTTAAGTTGCCAAGTCCAGGACTCAAATCGTGGTCCACTATGTGGGAGGCCAGTGACATAAACATTATGCCAGCTGCTGGTCCCCAAATTTTCTACTTTGAAAATGATGGGTGGACCAGGAAAAAATGTGGTTTGTGGCTCATCCTACTTGTAGGCCTTATTGCCATCCCGTGAGCATCACCCTTGGTTCAGCTTCACCAGGATACATGGATGTCCATACTCACTGTCTCTGGTACAATGCTAGGCAGCCCCTCTCCCGATGGCATGCCAGCTCTTTTCCCTATCTCTTTGGAAGGACAAACCTTACTTTTCCAGGTTATATTCAGAGCTGTGTTTGGGGAAAACTTGGGCTGTGTCTATTGAGAAAGGCGTGAGACAGGTAGAAAGCCAGCAAGCAGGGGTGTCACACATACATAGAAAAGACTGAAGAAGGATGGCCCAGCTAATTCCATACCTTTGACATTGCTGCTGTTTTAAAGGGTTCTGCTTAGGGTAAGCCTTACTGTATGTATTTTAACTGAGATATGGAAAATTCTCATTAAGATCACCCAATTTGGAAATAAAAAGATGATTATTACAGTGTTTTTCATTGCCTTTACTGGTGAATTATCCTTACTTCATCATTCCTTTTTTTTTTTTTTTGCATTTGTAAATTTTTTTTGTAATTTCCATTGTACTTTTTTTTTTCTTTTTAATTGCCTCTCTTGTTTTCTTAAATCACCACATTTGAGACAGAGAGAGAGAGGGAGAGCACCTCCCAATGGAGGATGGTCATGATACAATTCCTTCTCCATTTCTCATTCTGTTGGGATTTAGGGCATGAATGCATATATGCCCAGCATGTTTTTCAAGCCCTTAAGGGACTGGATTTCAAAATGAGTGTTGGTCATGTGGGTTCTGGCTCCTTAACCACTAGATGGTGGAGCGAGCCCTACTTCATCATTCTTTAAGACTTCTAATTCTTCTTCCCTGAGCTTCTTGTGAATCCTAAAGATTTTCTTATTTGATCATAGGGGTAGGGGACGTTTTGTATTTCTGTCCTCTAGTTCTGATTCCATCATAGTTGCCCTGTCATTTACTGTGGTTATGTAGCAAATCACCCTGAAAGTGGCTTCAAATAATAGTAATCATTTACCTCTCTTTGTTTCTATGGGTCAGGAATTCAGGAGTGATTTAGCTAAGTTGGTCCAATTAAAGGTTTGCTATGAGGTCATAGTCAGACAGTGGCTGGGGTCATCACAGTCTCACAGTCATCACTCGCATCAATCTCTTGGGCTGGAAGACTCAAACAACTGACATTCCTTGGACTGCTCTCTGTCTCAATGTGGTTTTCCATGTGTCTTTCTCTAGAATGGCAGGTCCAAAGTAGCTGGACATCATACATGGCATGGGATCCAAAGGCATCTGTTCTGGGAGAAAGTGGAAAAGAGAAAAATAAAAAGATATGATCTTGCTTTCTGTGATCTGTCCTTGAAAGTCACACTTGGTCATTCAGTTCTGTTGCATCTTTATTGAAGAAGTCACAAATACAGGAAGGCTAAGTAGAATGAACCTCTTAAAAGGGGAGGAGTTAAATAATTGGCAATTTTTTTTTTTTGTCTTTGCAATAGGGTGTATGTGCTTGCTAGAGAGAAAGAGTGAGATAAACCATATCCTGAGGGGATGGTCATGCCATAGTCCCTTCTCTTCTTGGGATTCTGGGCTTTTATATATATGCACCAGGCATATTTTTCACACTCTGGACCTGAGACCCCACTGCAAGGTCAGCCATGTGGGATCCAGCCACTTTAACCACCACCTCACCAGCTGGCCTGGTAAACATATTTTAAACTATTCAGCTCCATAGGTTGTAGGAAGTCAATAATTATATGGTCTCCTCTTATATGGGTTTTTAAGTAGAATTCCGAGTGGCCAAAGAGCAATCTCTTATTTTCTGGATGAGCAAACCCAACCACAGAGGCATTAATTCCTTTTGAGGCAGACCCATGGTATAATGGTTAAGAGAGTCAGATCTCACATGGCCAACTTCAATTTGAACCCCAGCCCTAGCAGCTTAAAACACAGGTTGGACACATGTGTGTGCATGCCAAAAATTCCAACCGGATAGAGAAATGGAAGAGAAAGACTTGTGCATGACTACACCCCATTGGGGGGTGTTTTCTCCCCCTACCCTCCCCTCTCTTTTCTCTCTGTCATTTCCTGGCACATTCATATACCCTCTGGCAAATAAAAAGAAAAAAGAGGCATTACCTTTGTCCAGAGTCCTAGTGCTGGTCAGAATAAGAAGCAGGTCCATGAATCAGGATTTCATCAACCCCAAGTGTTTATTCTACCACACATGCTGCTTTCTGCTGCAGATGAAAGCCCTGTCACCACCCAGGGTGTTTAAACACAGAGCAAAAGCATGGTAGGAATTGATTAAGAGCTAAGGCAATATCACTTCTGCCTCCTAACACTGTCACTGCTATGGAGGTTGATGTAGAACTATTAGCAAATATAATTTTGTGTTTAGATCCTACTTTTAGAAAGGCTCTTCACAAAGTGAATGTGTGTGTGTGTGTGTGTGTGTGTGTGTGTGTAGTAACTGGAGGCAGAGTACTCATTATGAATCTGCTTTCCAAAAATGTGCTTAAGACACAGCTGCCTTTAATTGGTTTTCTCTGTGAAAACCGTATGTCATAATTGGACATAGGAATATTTATTACTAAGTTTGTTGTTATGGAATTAATAACATGTACTGTTTTATAACACTTTAACAAGTTGTATTTTATTTTTATTTTAAAAATATTTATTTATTTACTTCTTCCATGAGTGAGGGAGACAGCGCCCCAGTCTCAGCTAGTCCCAGATCATGGACACACATGTGCCCAGTGTTTTCAGGGAGGTGTCCAGACACAAACCAAGAACCTTCCCATGTGAGTCAGCCTCACAGGGCATCACATTTTATTGCTGTGTCACTCTCCAGCCCCTCTTGTGAGATACCTTTAATCCTTCATAATACAGTAACTCTGACAACAATTATCCTAACACTTTCTTCCTATACAAATAACATATTGTACACATTATTTTCATTTTTCAGCAAAATCATTTCTTGGCCATTATTTCTGTTATCCCATGAAAAGATTTTCTGTACACAAGAAGGCTTTGCAAATTCTGTCTGATAGTGAAATTACCCCTTTGATTAGATCAATACTTGCCCTCTGTGGTAAGTTAAGACATTCAAAAGGAGGTAGGGGAATGCATTCGTTGATCTTAATTTGCACTATCAGATGAACAGGACCAGATTATCAATACAAATTGGTACCAGGGTCACTTCTATTTACTTTTAGGAAGGAACTTCAGTGGGTCACCTATAACACATATGGGAGGAAATTCTCCTCTCATTTTCTTGACTGTAGTGGAAAAAAATTTTGTGTATACTTATTTTGGAATGCATCATAAAATTCCTCTTGGGTGTACTTTGCACCAAGCAAAAATCCTAAGCAGGTTATAAATATCCTCACACCCCATCGCCTCCCAATCAAAACAAAACATAATCCTTAAAACAATTCCTGGCTGTCCCCGAGGAGTAGACTCACAAAGCCAGATCCTTACAGATATGTTATCCCCACTGCTGG